ACCGGGTGTTACACACCTGCTTTCTTACCCATGTCTACCTGAATCTCATTACCATTTATAAAAAAACGAGGCTTCTGATGGTCATCCTCATCGTCATCGACATCCTCATCCTCGTCGTCATCATCGTCGCCATTCGCTTCCTCATCGTTTGTGTCACCCACATCCCGATGCCCTGTTGCAACTTCCTTAACCAGTCCTGCACCATCAAGTACTTCTTCCTGTACGTTACCAACAAACTCGTCTTTGTGTTCATCCAACCATTCATGTATGTTACTATTCCCAAAATGGTTTACATACATAGGGAGTATAACACCACATTCATATGCAATTGCTATGAAGTCGTAATAATCGGGGTCATTGCAAATTAGAGTCAAACCTTTTGGAAAATCAATATCAGGTTGGCAGTAATAGAGCTTCTCACACTTTTCCCCAGTGAACCTTTCGATGAACGCAACACACACATCCTTGTCCATTCCTGCGAAATCGATGTCCGAAAACCTCTGAGTAATTCCACCGGTGTAGCGTATGGGGTTTCTGGCGAACATTCTTTGGAAGTGGACATCTACTTGTAAGAATACAGGTACCATGCTTGAGGATTCAGAAGTAGCTCACAAAAAAGGGTTTATCGATGAAGTGTTGAACAGTGGAGGTAAAAGGGCTCTTTTATAAAGCATATACCGACAGTAAGAAGGAAGCGACTAATTAATGACATGACATTAGACGAAAGTCACAGTCAGCATCCGATGTGGTGTTAGTAGAAGGAGGTGGACTTAAAATGACCGGCTAACCCCTTCACAATTGAAATAAGGACTTAATCGACCCGACAAAGAGTAATTCGTTACCTTATTAAGCCACAAAATAAGTTAAGTGGCTAAATAGGTAAACTCTAAAAACATTATAGGGCCTATACGTCATTTTCCCAAAGAAAAACTATAAAAGTGGAAAGTGGAAGGTAGATTGTGAGAATTTAATAGAAAATAAGAGGCATTAAATGAGAAATGATAAAATATTAAAAACCAAATTGAAGGTCAATGATTTGTTGACAAATGAAATGACTTTCGTGTATATAGAATTTTATAGGGTAATTCTAAATGCACGATAAAAGCTCTAAATACACGAAAGTGGAGTAACGTCAATCACTGTATCAATCATTATGAGTGAATATTTTTAATTTAAATTTTCAGTTCTTTTCCTTCTACTTCTACAAAACTTTCAAAATTTGCCCTATACGCTTTCAATATTCATACCATCTTTTGTATTGTTATATTAGATTAAAAAAATATAATAATAATATTAATAATATATTAAATTACGATTGTTAAAAAGATGACGTCAATATATTAACATCCTACAAATATTTGTTTTTTTTTCATTTTCTATGGAATTAAAGTTATTTAATAATTAAAGTTACTAATTTAAGTTTATTTTTTATTTATTTTACTATTTAATGGTTTTAGTCTTGAACTTTTACTCTTTTTTTTAATTTCAAACACACACACACACACACATATATATATATATATATATATATATATATATACATATATATATAGGGTTAGGTTATTTTGTTTTTACTAACTATTGTGTGCCAGAATGTACAGATCTGGATCACCAGATGGAATTGAATCAAAGGTCATGATCTGAGGGTCTATGATATTACAATAGGGTAAAATGTATCATATAATCACACAGCATAAGGGCATTTTAGTCAATTGAGACAAATTTAAAAAAGGAAAAATCAAGATTTATGGGATAATTAATGATTTTGATTTAAAAAATCTGATTTTTTTTTTCAAATTAATTCAATTTCAAACGTAATTTGTAAGCATAAACCGATCTTATTCTATCAGAATGTCATTTTGTTATAATGATGTTCTGTAATTCTGTCAGAATGGTATACAACTATGAACATAATATTATAAACACATATTATCAAGACCAATAATTTTCAATGAATACAAATTTTATATAAGACGAAGTTTAATAGTTTAGAATTAGTACATTCTTAAAGAATACAACTATGAACATAAATTACATTCATTCTTGAAATCTCTTGCAAAAAAAAATATCGACATTCTTGAAAGAATCCTCATTCACTTTCTTGTTTCATTCCTAGATGTCTTGTGTATGTTTGACCTCTAAGCCACTTCAAAATATGCTAGCATTCTATGAGATTGACATTTTGTGAGATCGACATTCTGTCAGAATTGTATTGTATGAGAATGATTTTATACAAGGAGCTGCAAAAGGAGATAAACTCGAGGATGGTAAGTGATCCCCAGGTAAAACTTGAAACATCTGAAAAACATAAGAAACAAAAATCATGTTAAAACATCAGCCAATTGTTTTACAATCCTTGCAAAATCATTCTTATGTGATTCTACCATAATCATTCTTATGTGATTATACCGGAAATACAATTCTGGCAGAATCATTCTTATGTGATTCTCCAAGATTATAATACTCTCTACACATTATTCAAATAGAAGAATACATTAGATACAAAATATTCTTAAAGAATGAAATAATTATTCTTAAAGAATGAAACAATTGGAGATAAGAATAAACACCCAATGATGAGGAAAGAAAGTCATTCTTACAGAACTAGCTTAATCAGCTTAAAGGGAATATACTGCAGAATGAATTCAAATTTCACAAAAATAAGCCCATTTTAAAATACAAATTAATACTAGCAAGAAGGAAAAGAAAAGGCTAGAGCAGTGCCAAAATGTTCTCTAGAAACTATACCTTCAAGAATGCAAACCCCAACTATAATCGTCCAACCAGCACCTGATATATTTCATAATCGAAAAATGATTTCCTCTCTTTCAGTATTGAAATAAAATGAGAGGAATTCTAAATTTAAAGTATGATAGAATAACATAATTCTTTGTTTTGATTTTGTTTACCTTTGGAGATGAGATGGACAACAATAAACATTCCATCACTAACCATGAATACAATCTGAGACTGCCATATTTCTATTTGGCATTTCATCAAACACTTTAAGGGCGCTCCCTAAATCACCACATTTTCTATGAATCATGAATGAAAAAAAAAATCCAATTCATAACCATCAACATCAAATTCATATGAACAACAAGATATTTCAACACCGTTATAAAAATCTAAAACTAAAAGTTGAAATTGTAGAAATTGGCTAGTTGGAAGAACGAAGAAGAAAAAAACTTGTTTTCTATGGAATGGAATTGCAAGTCTGGTAAATGTAAAGAAAAGATTAATAATACTCAAAATTGAACTATTGGCGCTACTAATAGTTGACCTTTCAGAGTAAAGGCTCAAGATTTCATTAAAACATTCATCAATGATCAAGAAACACGTAAAAGATCGAAAATTCATAGTAAAATTGAGAATAAACTAACATAGAAAGAAGATATCGTTGTTACTTGCACAAGAATGCACATAAACGAGTGAATATAATAGCGAATTGATACTTAAAACAATAGGAACTTACAGATCAATGACTGATATCCATTTGAGAGTGGAGTAGACAGATTCTGGATCACCCTTAGTGTACGATTCTTCCACGGCGACACAAAGCTTTTTAGTCGGGCCTTGATTGGATTTAATGGCGTCGATGTAGACACACCCGCGACCACCTTTGCCGATCTTTGCTGATCGGCTGAAGCCATTGGTGGCCGATTTGAGTTCGAGGAAAGTGAAGACTCGAAGATTACTTGGTCTCTGTGAAAAACTAGGAACATTAGACCTTCTGTCGATCTATGAAAAAAAATAAGCCCCGTTGATATAAAACATGATATAAGAGAGAGACTACGTCAAATATATTTATTTTATTTCCTTAATTGTAGGATTTCAATTAAATGATCCCTTAATTAAAAGTACAAAAGGTCCAAAATACCATTAAATGATTTATTTAATTATTTATTATTTCTTAACTTTTCATTGATGCATTTAAAAACACAATAACTGCTAGAAACATTTGAACCTAGCTCTCTCTCTCTCTCTCTCTCTCTATATATATATATATATATATATATATATATATACATATGCTAATTACTAATGATGGTGGTTATGTCTAATTTTCTTTAACTAAAATCATAAAGAATCAGTAGATATACTATAAAATTAGTAAATATACTATAAAATCATAATAACATAATCATTTTCTCTGTTACTAAAAAAATAACAAAATAATTTAGAATTCAGTTATTATGAATAATAAAAATAATCATTTTCTCTACATATAAACGAACTGAACAAACAAGAACAAATGTCTGTTTATTTGCGTTCGTTTAATTTAACCGAACAAATAAAAGAGTAAACGAAAACGAATTGAACGAATACAAACAAAGGTTTGTTTATATTCCTTCATTTAGACTTGTCTATTTAGAACTTTAAATGTATTTAACTCAATAATCATTTAGAACATTAGGACTATGATTAGTTTACTATTTTAACTGTAAATATATATGAGCTTGATAGAAATTTATAGTAGTTTATTGCAATCAGTCAAAATCATGATCACTTTTACACGATACATTCGTGCCAATAAAAAGATACTTTATAGTAGTTTACTCGCCGAAAAAACAAATCACCGAAACAAACTATTCACACTCGTCGCTTAGCGTGGGTAAACGGCTACTATATATATATATATATATATATATATATATATATATATATATATATATATTACATTTGCAAATGAAAATTATGTAAGATTAAGATAATGATAAAATTTCTAAAATCCTTAAAAAATAAATCAAGTTAAAAGTTGAATTTTAAAAACTTTGGACGACTACAACCCATATATGATACAAAAAGATGTAGTACGGTGGATTTAGATACCTAAGTTTATATACTTTGTTGTGTATATTCACATATATATATATATATATATATATATATATATATATATATATATATATATATATATATATCAAGTAAAGTTATTGAAATTTGACTGAATAAAATTTATAAGGGTGTATTTTTTAACTTGCATCTAAGTTAAAGGAGCTAAAATCAAAAAATATAAAAAGAATTGAAATTGCCAAAATAACAAATGTGATGGGATTGATTGTAATCATTGATTATACAGAATTTATTCCTGCTAATAGGAGCACCCATTTTATATAGTGCATTTATAATAAGCCATAATATATTTCGTTCTAAGTTCAGTCAAAATTATTTGATTGGACTATTCCTTCTTCGTTTAGTACACATGGTAACCACACCGGCCACTGTGCACAAAACAAACACGTGAGGATGGGAGTCGGCAGTGTATCGTCATCAATGCATTAAATGAAATGAGAAAAAGGAAAGATAAATACGTCGGTTGTGTTTGTCTAGGGACTCGCAGTTGTGATTTGTACCAAGGGATATCTCTGGAATCCGCATATCCCCATTTTTGTCTTGCTGATCATCAACCCATTTATTTAGGTAATAAAAGAATCCACCTAATTTCTAACAAGATTGATCATAAACTTTTCTTATGTCAGTTTGATCTTTGTGATTTCGATTTTGGTTTTCCAGGGATTTCCCTTTTGATTTGAAGAAATGGAGGTAGTGGATTACTTGAGTGATGAGAGGAATAAGGCGCAGTTCGATGTGGAAGCCATGAAAGTTGCTTGGGCTGGTTCTCGTGAAACTCTTGAACTATCTGAGCGTATGGCCAAGCTCGTTGCTAATGATCCTGTATGATTAAGAATTCACTTCAATTTATGTTAAATTGCAATTTTCGTTTATTTGTAGATAAGATTTAGGGTTTTAATCGTGTTGTTATTAGGGCCTTTAACTAAGTCTAGAAAGTTTATTATGCAATCTTTCGATTCATGTTGTTTTAAAGAAAATTGAACTCTTCACCTTGTCTGCTTAGGCTAAGCACACACGTAGATGTCCTGTATATGTTTTAACTGTGTTGTCTTCATGGGTTATATGGTTCTTTTACTTGTATTATATGATTCCCATTAACTAAGTGTAGAAAGTTTATTATTCTTTCTTCAGATTCGTGTTCCCTTAAAGAAAACAATGATCTGTTCACATTGTCTGCTACTCTGCTTAGGCCGAATAGACACGTAGATGATCATGTATGGTTCCAAATTCACTTCAATTCATGTTGAATTGCAAAGTTGATTTATAGATGAGATTTAGGGTTTTACGCTTGTTAATTTCAGGGGTTATCTGGATATTTTTACCTGTTATATGATCCCCTTTAACAAAGTGTAGAAAATTGATTGTGCATTCTATAGATCCATGTTCCTTTAAAGAAAAATGATCTGTTCACCTTGTTTCCTTAGGCTAAGCAGTAGTCAAGTCTGTACATTTTCTTTAAATATACATTTATATTACATCTTGTCATTTGCAGGCCTTTGAGAAGTTTACCAGACCTATGCTTGGTAGGAAAGAGTTGTTCAAGAACACACTTAAAAAAGCTGCATATGCATGGAAGTTGATTGTTAATCTTCGTCTATCTGGTAATCTTTACTTTTAAGGAAGCAAAGCTGACTATTTTCTCATATAACACTTTCACCATTTTCACTTGGCAATGCATTTTTTGTTAATCTCAGAAGAAGAAGCCAAATGGTTGCGACTTTATATTGATGAGCCTGCTTATACTGATCTTCACTGGGTAAATTCTTGTCCTTCCCAACTCCCAAGTCTTAGTTATGAACATGCTTATGGATGTTTGTTTGGAGATTTTCATTTTCTTATCAACCACAAGTGATAACTTTCACATACAATGGAATGGATCTATGTCCCTTCTGAAACTATATAGATGGTTACTTTTATCTTCAATGATTAACAAAAAGATTGTGCCCTATGATTTCTTAGGGAATGTTCATCCCAGCCATAGAAGGACAAGGCACCGAGGAACAAAAGCAGAAATGGTTGCCATTGGCCCAAAAGATGCAAATTATTGGTTGTTATGCTCAAACAGAACTTGGTCATGGATCCAATGTGCAAGGTCTTGAAACAACTGCAACATTTGATCCCCAAACAGACGAGTTTGTCCTTCACAGTCCTACTTTAACTTCAAGCAAAGTAAGTAACATGAAATGGATTGTTCTTTTATAAAGATCCCCCCCTTTTCTCTATGTTTTTCCACTTTTTGATATTTTTTCTTATTTTCTAATTCGACTTTGCTTCCACTCTCTTAATCTTTTCTTTAGTGGTGGCCTGGTGGATTGGGGAAAGTGTCAACACATGGTGTCATTTATGCTCGCCTCATAGTAAATGGTCAATTCCATGGAGTTCATGGTTAGTGCATATTACCATTTTATCTTCTGCAATGATTTCTTACATCAGTTAAATTTCTAAACTTTCATCATTTTGTGGAAACATGAAGTTACTCATTATTTGCCATCTTTATTTTCTCAAAGGCTTTATTGTCCAACTAAGGAGCTTGGAGGATCACTCACCTCTTCCTGGCATTACTGTTGGTGATATTGGACTGAAGTTTGGAAATGGAGCATATAACACCATGGACAATGGTGTTTTAAGATTTGATCATGTGCGTATACCAAGGAACCAAATGTTAATGAGGTAAATAAGTAAACATATCCGCCTATCTTACTTGCATTGACTTGTAGTAAACTATCTGAATTTATTTTTTTGATTCAATCAGGGTGTTACAGGTTACAAAGGAAGGAAAAATCAAGCAATCTGATGTTCCTAGACAACTCATTTATGGGACAATGGTGTATGTTAGGCAAACAATAGTAGCAGATGCTTCCAAAGCATTATCTCGTGCTGTTTGTATTGCCACAAGATATAGTGCTGTTCGCAGACAGTTTGGGTCACGTAATGGTGGGCCCGAGACACAGGTTATTTAAAATCTTTCATTTTATAAAAGATTATATAAAACGATTCTTCTGTCATAACAAAGGGGTCTAAAATCTAAATGATTGAAGATGTTGGATTTGTTTTTTTTGTTCAGGTGATTGATTATAAAACTCAGCAAAGTAGACTCTTCCCTTTGTTGGCTTCTGCTTATGCCTTTAGATTTGTGGGGGAGTGGTTGAAATGGTTGTACATGGATGTGAAGCAAAGATTAGCAGCTAATGACTTCTCAACTTTGCCTGAGGCACATGCATGTACTGCAGGGTTGAAGTCCTTGACAACTACTGCTACAGCTGTGAGTATCCTATTTTCATTTCTCCCTAAATATTTAGGTTTAATTTGATTTGTATATGTAATATATTGGTTTCAGGATGGAATTGAAGAATGTAGAAAACTATGTGGTGGGCATGGGTACCTTGTTAGTAGTGGGCTTCCTGAACTATTTGCTGTTTACATTCCTGCTTGTACATATGAAGGGGACAATGTTGTCCTTCTGCTACAGGTAATGTGAAAAATGTGTCAATTGCGATTGAGATTTTATTTGATGACATTAAAAGGTAAAATTGTGAAAGTTAAAATTTTGAAGGTTGCAAGGTTTTTGGTGAAGACAGTTTCGGAGCTGGGATACAAAAAGCCAGTTGGGACAACAGGTTATATGGGACGAGCAGCAGATCTGCTGCAAAATAATTGTGCTGTTCAAACCGGTAAATCCACTTGAACTCTTTTTTTATAATAAATATTTAAATTTATTAGTGTTAATGGATCTGTGCTCAAAGAAAATGAATGAATGACTTATGATCTTTAATGGGAATGGGATGCAGCTGGGGAGTGGCTAAACCCTGATGCGGTTGTGGAAGCATTTGAGGCTAGGGCTGCTAGAATGGCTGTTAGCTGTGGTCAACGGTTAGCCAAGTTTGAGAATCCAGAAGAAGGTTTGGCTTGGCTTCATGATTCATATTCATATCCATATGTCTTGTTGTATCATGCAGAAAAAGGTCAATTCATGTGAATTTTGCTCTACAGGTTTTGCAGAACTAGCGGCTGATCTGGTGGAGGCATCAGTTGCTCACTGCCAATTAATTGTTGTGTCCAAGTAAGTTTTCTCAAATATTTTTGGAAATTTGCCTTTATTTATTTATTTCCTTCCATTTTCTCAAATATTTATTTACTTTCAGGTTCATTGAGAAATTGCAGCAAGAGATCCCTGGAAAAGGAGTGAGAGAGTCGTTAGAGGTGTTGTGTTATGTGTATGCATTGTTCCTTGTTCACAAGCATCAAGGTGATTTTTTGGCCACTGGGTATCTTACCCCTAAACAGGCCTCACTTGCTAACGATCAGCTCAGAACTTTGTACTCTAAGGTTACTCACTCTCATTCATTTATTTGTCTATTATATTATAAAGTAGTTAAAACAAAACTAAAACTTCAATGTATGTTTATGTTTATGTTTATGTTTATGTTTATGTTAGGTGCGTCCAAATGCAATAGCATTGGTTGATGCATTCAGCTACACGGATCACTACCTGGGTTCAATTCTTGGGCGTTATGATGGGAATGTGTATCCAAAACTGTATGAGGCTGCTTGGGAGGATCCTCTCAATGACTCGGATGTGGTGGATGGATTCCATCAATATGTCCAACCAATCCTCAAACAGAAGCTGCACTCTGCTAAGCTATAATAGTTATAATATCATAGCAACTGCTGCCGAGTCTTTAGGCATTGTTTTAACATTCATAATGTGCGACTAAATTAGTTGTTAAAAGACTATTGAGTGTGCTGCTGCTTGCAAGATTAAAACTATGCTGCATCAAAATTATGTATGTATGACTATAAAATTTTACTTGGTTTTCTTTAAAGGAAGTCATTTCCGAACTTCACACCAAAGCCGCACAACTAGGGGTGTCGAACGTGTAAAATTTTCGGGTTTCGGGTAGAACGGGTATTTCCTTAAGAAAATAATACCCGACCTATATTGTAATTCGGGTTTTCGGGTATTCGGGTTTGAGGTCGGGTCAGGTAATTATCGGGTATACCCGAAATTTTTTTAAATGACACTTATTGATACTTTTTTATTTTTTTATTTTTACATGTTGGTTGGTTTAATAAAGAATCGGGTAGGAAAATACTCCATACAATTAACAAGTACATATATAATAACAATACAAATCATTATAATATGTTATGTACTTTTTTAATTCTATTCTGTGCGATAGTGAGAAACTGAGAATTGTGATGATGGTTCAGGACTTCAGCTTCAGCGTCGTATTCTCTTTGCAAGTTTGCGTCGACCGTCGAGCTGTCGTTTATAAGAAGAAAATGAAGGGTTTTGTTTTATTTGAAGTGTGCGTACGTGACTGCATTGTAAATTTGGTATTATTAAAAAATGAATTCGGGTATACCCGAAAATAAATATTCATACCTAAAACCCGACCTATATTATTATCGGGTTAACCTATTACCCGAATGTTCATACCTGTTACCCGTTCTACCCGACCCATTCTACCGGAATTCGGAACGAGTCGGGTGGGTAGAACGGGTTTCGGGTTTTTTCGACAGGCCTCCGCACAACATGCTGAGTGCTGACCGACCTTTTGACCTCAAAAGTTTTTTTCCACTCCCAAGGCAAACCATGAACTAAAAAGTAAAAACATCTACCAGATAGTGAATATATTCTATACTTTAATAGTAAGATCGTATTTTTCAATCACCGTACTATTTTTAATAAAATGTACCAATCATATTATCAAATTAATTATATCTATATTAATTACTAATGTCGGTGGCAGTTTCTATTCATAGTTGGTCCATTGTACTTCTAAAAGTTACATTTTATATCTTTATTTTTTTTATAAATATTTTGTAATACAAATGATATTTTTTTTCCTAAATATTATTTAAAATGCCACTTTTAACCTTTTTCATTTTCAACTTTATAAAATATCATTTTCGCTCCCTTTGTTTTGTAACGTTCCTATTTATCCCCCATATTTATCATTTTACGTGTTTATGTTTGTAATTTATCGGTATAAATTTGAAGTGGTTAATGTTTTGACATCAATTTAGAACTGTAGTTCTATAATAAAAACAAACTTACTTGTTTATTTTATGCACGTATCTATACATTCGAGTTTGTCTATGTTTCGATTTTTTTTTTTTTTTTTTACATTTTCATGTCTATTTGTATGTACGATTCCTACGTACGAACATATAATACATGTTTGATTATTTGGACTTCCGTTCGTTAACTTTAAAAAAAGAAATTTTACTTACTTTTATGTTTGTGTCATTATAAAATTCTAGTTTCTTTATGTTTTTGTGTTTATTTTTATGTATGTTTCTTACGTATGAATTTGGTCACATATAATACGTTTTTATTCGATGGTATATATTGGAAATAGTAAATAGTACCCACCTTGTATATTTATCTACCAATAAATGCAACGATACCTATTTTTTTTATCAATACAATCATCCAAATTCAACTTACAAAATAGACTGACACCGTCCAACGTGCGGTGGGCAGAATCCTAGTTATTACTTAAATTCCAATATTGTTTTATTGTTAATTTGTTATAAACACTTGCCAAAATAAATAGAAAAACCCAACATATTTTGAGAGTGCATTGATATTTTAAGGTGGTGTTTGAGATTGTGTTTAAAAAAATTCCTTAGTAAAAGTGGTTAGTAGTTTGTGGTAACCAAATAAATTTAAAATATATATATATATATATATATATATATATATATATATATATATATATATATATATATATATATATATATTTGGATTAATTTATGTAATGGCAAAAAGTTATAAATTATAAGATTTTTTTTGTATGGCAAAACTAGTTATAGTTAGGAAAATGACCAAATATTAAGAAATTAAAAAGAAGTTAAAATGACAAAACAATTTTTTTTTTAATTTTCAAAGATCAGTTTCAGACTACTAATACAAAAAAAAAAAAAAAAAAAAAAAAAAAAAAAAAAAAGACCCCAATACTTTACTAAAAAAAAATCTTTCCTTTATACTTTGTATTTTGTAACTTTGCTAGATGTCGATTATTTATTTATTTATATTTATAAAATCACACGTACTTAAGTTGAAAAAATGGTCTTGAGTGGGACCCAGGTCATCAAAATCACAAGATCCACGCTTTCAACACCACGTACACAACCCTCTCTCCTTCCGCCATCTTCTCAACCCCGCCATTTAAATCTTCAAAATTCCTCTTCTCTCTTCTTCTGCCCTAATCTCTTGCTCTCACCATCATCTTCATCTCTTTCTCACTTACGTTTCACCATCATGTCACACTCGTATGCAACAGATGCCCAAACAAAATCCGCTGACCTCGCCGCCACAATCGTCATCTCCTCAACACCAGAGCAAATTGCCACCGCTTGCGCCTCGGTGGAGTCCTTTCTACATAGGCACTCACCTGACCAGTCGCGGTGGTTCTTCTCCATCACTTTCCCAACCCTAATTTGCAAAATATTCGGTTTCGACGAACAGAAGCCTCAAAACCCTAACGGTAACGGCTGGATTGACATTTTAGCGTCAGCCAATGATACGGAAATCTCTTGTAAGGTTTTTGACCTCCTTTCTCCGACTGGCGTTTTAATGAGTTCTGTTACAGCTGTTGATCGGTTATCTCTTGTTAAATATGTTTTCCCAATTGAACGGTTGCCTGAATGGGTCCGGTTGACGCTACAAAACGGTAGGGAATGTGGTGTTTTGTCTGATTTATGTCCTCTATTCAAAGGGAGGCTTAAGGATGGAGTTCCGTTTCAGGTCCAGTTGAATATTTTGGAGTATTACTTGTTTTGGTTTGCTTATTACCCTGTTTGCAAAGGAAGTTCTGAGAATCATATCACTGTCAGAACTAGCGTAAGCAAAAGGTTTAGGTTAGAGAATTGGGCTTATAAATCGATTCCAGTCTTTGGTAGTGCTAGTAAACCACGTGGAAATGAGCAGAAGAACAGCGACAATGGTAATTTGTATATACGGCTTTTGTGGGCTTATCTTCGTTTCTTTGTACCTTTGGGCGATTTGAATGCTCATTCACCTTACCGAAGTTCATTGTTGCATTACTCTTCATCTTACAATAGTTTCGTCCTTGAGAATGCTGAGTTTTTTGTTCATGCGCTTATACATTTCTGGATTGTGGATAATGATTTCTCACCTTTGTCGGTTAAGCTATGCAAGTCATATGGTGTTGTACTCCCTCTTCGGTCTATCTTGGCTGAACTTCCCCCCACAGATGTTTTGGGTGAAGTTGCCAATCTATTTGTGAAATACCTAAATTCGAGTTTACTTCTCAATGGTGTTGAGGGATGTGATCAGATGGAACTTATTAAAGCTGCAACATGGAAGGGTGCAGGTTCTGTTGAATTGAAGTCTAGGGAGATGTTTTCTTCTATAGGATCTATTGGTTATTGGAACAGTTGCATCCAGAGGCCACTCTACAGATATATTTTGAGAACATTCCTGTTTTCCCCAGTTGACACTCCTGTGAAGAATGTTTCTCAGGTGTTTTCCCTTTGGGTTAACTATATGGAACCATGGGCAGTTAGTTTGGATGAATTTCCTGAGCTTGATGCGAATACAGTTAATATGAAAAGAGATTGTAAACCACATGAATATTCATCCTCTTGGCAAGGCTTTGTGTTATCAAACTACCTTTTCTATAGTTCCTTGGTTATGCACTTCATTGGATTTGCTCATAAGTTCATTCATACTGATCCAGAAGTTATAGTGCAAATGTTATCCAAGGTTTGTTTGTTTCCTATTATCTATCACAGTAACCCTTTTGCTCATAAGCTCATCCATAAGGAATTATATTCAACTACAAGTGATCTGCAACCATGAGCACTTACCCAACTATTGTTTCTTCAGGTTATAAATGTGTTGACATCATCTAGGGAGCTTGTGGACCTCATAAAGAATGTAGACATTGTTTTTCATTCTGTTCCAGCAGCAGGATCATCCAAATCGATGCTTAATACATTATACAGATTTGTCCCTTCAATCCGTGAACAGTTGCAGGTAAGTTTACATTATAAAGATGACAAGGGCATTTGCGGCTTTTTACAACCTGTTTTGATTTTCTTAATGTACTAGGATTGGGAGGATGGCTTGTCTGAAACTGATGCTGATGGCTCGTTCTTACATGAGAACTGGAATAAAGATCTGAAACTATTCAGCACAAGTGAAGATGGTGGACAGCAACTTCTTCAGGTTTTATTTTGTGTTTTCCCTCTTTTTCCAAATTAATAATAATTACAACTTACCAGATTAAGTTGTTTGTGCAGCTGCTTGCTTTGCGTGCTGAGTCGGAGCTTCAAGTTATCTCAAATGAAAACATTTCAAACAAGCTACAAGTTGTAAAGTCTGTGAAGGCCCAAATGGGATGCCTATTTAGTGGCAATGTGATAACATCATACTCACAATGCAAACAATCAGAAAAAGAAAAACATCAGGAGATATTCCGGCCTAGAACTGGTGGCAACCGCCAGACAACAGATATAAGATACAGAGGTGACTGGATGAAGAGACCAATCTCCGGTGATGAGGTGGCATGGCTGGCCACTCTTCTTGTGAAACTTTCTGGGTGGCTGAACGAGATTCTTGGGCTGAACCACCCATGGGAGAATGGTTCCACCAGCAGCAGCACCACCACGTATGTGGTGGTTTCTGGTGGTGGTGGTGATGTGTATGGAGTGAAGGATACAATGAGGTTGGTGGTGGGTGGGGTGATGACATTTTATCGGGAGGCAGTGAAGTTTATGAGAGAACATGGTATGAGGGTGAATTTGAGAATGCTTGCTTCAAAGAAAGTGGTCACAGTGCTACTTATTGCAGTTGCATTCACTCTACTCAAGAGAATGTTTTCCAACTTGCTCTGTTAGAAACATAATCAATCACAAACATGGACCTTGTGTTTCACCTCATATAGATGATATGTGCAGTTTGCCAAGTACCTATAATACTTATGTAAATTAGTTTTTTCTTTTTTCTTTTTCTTTTTTTATTACATCATAGTTTTGCTAGAAACAG